TACTATTATTCATATATTATCATTACTCTGTTTACAATATACTGACAGCATACCATAATCCAAGAGGTACCATTTGACAGATCGTTTTTCATTTTCTGCATTTTTTAAAGAAATTTGATACCCCGATGCGTTGTGATGACTAGTATCTCGAAATTGTGGACATGGCTTTGCTAATCATTCCTTCAAAATATAATGGAAAGTTTTCAAACATTACACATCGAGAATATTGTTAATCTGTCTACGCATGTATAGTGTAATAAAGTACAAGTTTGCCCTGAACTATTGCTTCACCCTTATAACAGTTCGGTGCAAAACTGTAATAATACCATATACATGCGTAGTTTCTTAAATGCGCGGGGCTCTGGGCAGGATAACGTCCACGGATACATAAGGTTTATCAACTAATGGAGGTGTTATCGGTGCAATAAAGCAATCTGATAACTTTGGTATCGAAATCTGATAACTATGCAAATTTCGTCAATCCACGAACTACTTTCACAAAACTCCACACTCGCCATGCGAATCCTAAAACGTTAACATTTCATTGATGACGTCGTCGCGAGTTAACATTGGATGGACGAGTTTGTAAACAAACATGGCTGCACCCATTATCAAAATTGGTGATTCTGTAAAAAATGATAAACAGAGGTTCTGGAGTCGTTACTGCAGTAACTGACTTTGGAAAACATGAAACGGAGTACTTCGTTCAAATTGAAGGTACGGATTATGAGGCACGAGTGAAATGCGATCGTCTAAGAAAGGTAAGAACTAAGGATTTCGATCTATCGATCACAATGCAGACGACGAATCGATTCAGTGAGGTATCAGAAACTGATATTGATGAGGTGATTACCCGCAATGAAAATGGAAACACTGTCAGGAAAACCCTGCCCGACTTTCTTTTTCTTTTTAGACAGAAAGATCTTATTTTAAGCATGAGTTATGTTTGAACAGTATTAGCGACTAGTCACAACTATGTGCCTCCGTCATGAACGACCTTCACCTTGGTTTACCGCTAAGTATTCTTAAGCGAATGCTCGATTCCCTACATATAAATTCACGTACGATTTGATTCTTTTTTTAAAAGTATTTTTAAGAATGACATATTATGATGAAGAGATTATTAACCTCGTGTGTTTCCGTATCATTAATATAATATATTAGGAATACAAATTATGTATTATGCTCGCCAAAGGCTCGGGATACAATTTTTATTCCTGATATATGATATTAATGATACGGAAACACACGAGGTTAATAATCTCTATATCCGTTGGGGTCGTATACGGATAAAGAATAAAATATGAGTGAGTGAGTTTAGTTTTACGCCGCACTCAGCAATATTCCAGCTATATGGCGGCGGTCTGTAAATAATCGAGTCTGGACCAGACAATCCAGTGATGAACAGCATGAGCATCGATCTGCGCAATTGGGAACCGATGACATGTGTCAAACAAGTCAGCGAGCCTGACCACCCGATCCCGTTAGTCGCCTCTTACGACAAGCATAGTCGCCTTTTGTGGCAAGCGTGGGTTGCTGAAGACCAATTCTACCCCGAATCTTCACGGGCCTTGAAATATGAAGGTTGTGCAGTAACTGCTTTCAGTGTTGCTCTAGATATAAAGGTTGGGCAGTAACTGCATTCGCTGCTGCTGCAAATTTGAAGGTCAGGTGGTAACTGCTTTCAATGTTGCTGCAAATGTGGAGGTCGGGTAGTAACTGCTATCGGTGTTGCTGCAAAATATGAAGATCGAGTAGTAACTGTTTTCAGTGTTGCTGAAAAAATGAAGATCGGGTAGTAACGTTAACTGCTTTCAGTGTTGCTGCAAATATAAAGGTCGGATAGTAACTGCTTACAGTGTTGCTGCAAATATGAAGGTCGGACTGAAATATATAGATACTTCCTTTCATTTGGTAACTTTGTTCACGTTGGACGAACCTCATCACCAGCTGATGACAGCCCACATATACTCGAAACAAATTGACGTCTCGTGGACAAGGACAGAGTAGTCTTTGATACTACATGTATATGTATTTATTTACCGATGGATTGCTGCGCAATGCAAACAGGTGTAGGCACTTGTTTAGTTTGGTCACCTGTCGTGACAATTTATAAAACAGGTTATAGATGTTGTCAGTGTCCGAATGAGAATCTAACGAACCTTAAACCTAAAGTAATGTCTGATTAAAGCAGGTTTTTCGAATAACATTAGTATGATAAATGGGTTATGACGCCTGTCTGTTTGGGATTGTATAGTTGCTATATTAGGAATAAACCCTGTGTGATTATCTCGCCAAGGTTCGCTAAATACAATATTTATTCCTAATGCTCTTTTCAATCGTGTATTGATGTGTTCATTTGCCATAAGCAGAGTCGAACAGACGTTATGATAGATAATAAAGAATACGAACCATAGGTATCAAACTGATTCTTAGTGGGCATATCTTTGGGTCACAGCAAATTCCCATTCCAAAATTGGGATTGCCATGTCATGTCCAAATATAAGTAACTACTACTATAATACATTATACTGGATTCTGATTGGTTAATTGAAGTCATTCAAGGGTATATAATCAAGTTATATACCAATGATTTTCCAGCACAGTACGTGTTTTATTTAAATCTTAATAACGCGGGTATGGTAGAATGGAGACAAACATACTGTGTTGGAAAATCAGAGGTATATAACGAAGTACTTTTTCGCGCACGTTTTACACAAAGTTGAGAAAGACCAGCTTTGGCCTTAAAAGTCATCCGATCCGTGTATGATAAACAACGGTTACACTTTTTATAAACTTCAACACTTTGTGCTTTTCACACCTTTCTATATTTTAATATCAAATACAATGATATCCTACAAAGTTCACAAAATATAAAGGTAAGAGTTTATTTTGTTTTTGGTTTTAATCTTTTTATTAATTTCAATTCATTGGACGTACATTCAGATCGGGTGTGTAAAATATAAATGATACGTATGAATAACAATTTTATATAATTTATGCAAAGCAACAAAGCATTAATTGACATCAAAGTTAGAAATCGTTGTTGGATACTGTACTGAAGCGTGCGTAAAATAAACACATTTGAATATCAAAACTGTTATAAGTTGTATACTGTGAGTATTGATATAAGACATGAGACAAATACATTAAGACTACAAAAAAATGGTCAAATATTTCCACTTTGCATGGAATGAAGGCAGAGCGTTATTCTTCTTTGCAAAAAATCTTCAACATTAAAGACATCCTACTATTGATAATATATTTTGTTTGATGCTTGTTATATGGATATATTGTTTGGCTAATAAAATTATATGTGATGTCAATAGACCATAAGAGCTATTGCAAAAGAGAAGATCAAAATCTGTCATCACACTATCTAAAGTGATATAATGATTAAAGACTTGGTCCACTTGTCCCCAGAATTCATGTACAACTTTACACTTTATTATCACCTGGTGGAGATTTTCTGGTTCAGATTGACAAAAAGAGCAAATATTTTTATCAATAAGTTTCATTTGCAAAAGTTCTTTTCTTGTGTAAATTGCTCTATTTAAAAGATATGTACTGAAAATCTAACAGTTTCACATCCTTGGTACAATTTCTGTATTTTGTAAAAACAGTACTCCATGAAATATTTCTGTCAAGTTCTTTCTGCCATGTATGACATACCTTGGGAAGAGTATCGCAAGCAATCATTTTGTCAAAGTATTTCCTACCACCCTTCTTTTTAGAAAGTAAGTTTCGAAGAGTTGAGTTTAATGAGAGGTTTTGAGTGTTAATTGCATGGGAGAAAGAGTGGTTTTCCAGGGTTTTTTGGAATATTTTTTGTACTCTTAAACAGTTCCTTTAATGCAAAAAGTGTTTTTAATTCAGTAAAAGAAAAACAACTTTCTCGACAAATGTCTCCAATTGAGTGAATACCTCCGTCAAACCAAATTTTTATATAAAGATTACTATATATGTCTACACTGGTGATTCATCTTGACAATCAGCTCAGCTAACTGACCAAGAACTTCTTTCTGGAGATCATGATTCCTGTTGGTTGGAAATTGGTTGTGATTAGTGACAACTATGAACAAACCACCGACAACAACACTCCATTCAGCCTTCATACAACAATACAACCACCTCTGCCAGAGTATCGCCGGGAGACGTGCGATTACAATTAAACACATGTTGAAAGGTGATAGACTCGGCGTTCACTGGCTTCAGGATATCGATTACCCCATTGTCGTTAAAGTGAATGAAGGATTGGCTTTCGATTTACCCCGCTTGATCAGTTTGTTAGATTTTGAGTGCGTGAGTTTAGTTTTACGCCGCACTCAGCAATGTCCCAGCTTTATGGCGGAGGTTTGTAAATAATCGGGTCTGGTACAACAATCCATTGATCAATGGCATGAGCATCGATCTACGCAATTGGGATTCGATGACATGTGTCAACCAAGTCAGCGAGCCTGACCACCTGGGGTCACGTGCTCAAAGCAATCTTAGCGTTCCGACTATCTTAAGCCTATGTTTGGGAATGAGAGTTACAATCATCGTAACGCTAAGATAGCTTTGTGCAAGTGAACCCCGAACCCGCTTGTCGCCTCTTACGACAAGCATGGGTTGGTGAAGACCAATAATTCTACCCCAGATCTTCACGACTCCCATGTTCATAACTGACATACCAATCCACATTACATTTCCTGATGGCTAGGGGCATATGCTCACACGAGGTGTTCCGATTGATGAATATATAAACCTGGCAAAGGAGTATGATACATGTTTGACAATTAAGTATTTGGGATATTGAAGTTTTAGTGAAAAATATATTGAACTTGTTTACACTGTGACAAAAATATGCATGACAAATCTAACTGGAACATTCTGTTACTGGTTAATTCTTCAACGACAGGGGGAAGAATACCTCACAAAAGAATTTCAACCCTTCGTTCACAGATATTGTTTTGGATATTTTTACAGTGTGACAAAAAAGGTGATTAGATTTAAAATACTTCTTCGTCTTGGAGACTGGTCCAAACGTAAAGTAAGATCCAGGCATCATGAAAAGATTCTCCAACTTTTCTATTCCACGGAAAACTGTGGGAAATATCAACTCAATATACAAATCAAATCGGGAGAAATGTTCCAGGTAGTATAGGACGTCATCTTTATATTGTTCAGGAACATAGTGAATATCTGCTTGGCCAATATAGAACCCGTCTCTCTTCCTTGAATTGGTGAAAAGCATCCTTGTGAAACTGTCGTATTTGTGACTATCCACAGCTTTCAAAGCTTGTAGACCAGCCTTGTATGCCGCCGTACCTACTTTGGGATGCTGCACACGATGACCAACTTTCTTTTTGGACAGTTGTACAACTGGAGCGCGATAAACCCAGAGTTTGTTTAACGGCATCTTATGAATGTTCCACACGTTAAGCAGCACATCGTCCCCGATGTATAAGTAGCCGTCAACTCGAAACTGCATCTTCATCACTTGTATCAAACAGTGTTGAAAAAACCAGCCATCGTTGTGGTCAACCTCCATGAAGGTCAACGGCTTGGGAAGTATCTTCGCGTGGGTGTTGAATATATCTTTGTTGGGTCCACAGTACACGATGTGAGGGAAATGCATGCCGTACATTGTCTCCAGAAACTGTAGGTTCTCATAGTGTGGAAAGTTAAACACTACAATTAACACGATGTTTGGATAGGTTATGACTGGTTTTAGTTCTGGCGTTGTAAACGAGTGTTTACTACAATATGAAGCTATTTTAGCAGCATGCGCAAACACTGCAGGTGAGTGTGTACCTTGGGAATATATCTGAGGTGGGGTTTGCTCAGCTGCCCAGAATGTGAGGTTGACCTGTTGATCCGCCAGACGTGTTTGGTTTGGCAGTGTCTCCTGTGGTATGTGTTGAGCACCGTCTTTCAGAGAACCAAACGATATCCTTTGTGGTTCCTTGTAGCCATGTGCCACGAGATCCTTGATCCAAAGATTCGTCAGTCTTGCATCTCTTTCCTTCCAGAAGTTTCGATGTGCCATGTCAGCTGACAATTGAGTAACACAAGCAAAGAATGTCAAACCTGTCCCACACCTCCATTTGGTCAGAAAATTAAGGAGTCCATCTGTCTGGAAGTAGAGGTCGGTTTCTTCTTTAGCGTCGCTCAGGTAGGAGTGGGCGTTCCTCTTCTGGAAAGCATTTGGTGGGAAGAATCCAACATTTCCTCCCATCTCCCACAACAGTCTCTGAGCCCAGTAGCCTCTCCAGATATCACACACTCTGATTGTCGGAGTGGCTGGAATCAGGAGTGCCCAAAATGCATCATACAGAAAAAAAGTATTCTGGGAATTAAAGGGAGAGAACACGCCCGCTGGAACAAGTGCAGGTGGGGCTCTCACATCAAAGGTCACATTCAGCTGAGAACTGGTTTGTTTCCGAGTCAGTCTGAAAATAGCGTCCATATCCGGATCACCATTTACCACACCCTGCTGAATGGACGGAGTTTTCCAGTGATTTAGTAGATATTCAGATGTTTGGTTTTCCCCAATAGACCCAAGTGGATAGCCTCTTGGCCACAAAGTCGACTGTCCAAAATGACGATACGGATTAAAGAGCCTTTCCCCTCTGTACAAGATTCCCCACATTGTTGGATCTAGTATGAAGGATTTCAGACTATCAAGAGGACGATTATCATCATCAGTCTCATAAATTACAGTTGCACCATGGGCTATTGCAAACAGATATCCCACTGTTTTTCTGGCATAACTCCCTTCCGGCACAAGTGACTCTGATTCAAAACCGAGACTACGTTGATCTTCTAAGCTTAAAAATACACAGTTTGGGTACCTGAAATGGCAACATATATCATTATGTAAGTTTAGTGTCAGAATTAGCAAACGGTAATATATATTATCATGTATACATTTATAGGAATCGTAGATAGTTCAATCATCATTGACTTTCACTTCTGGGTATACATATAGAGCCTGACATTACCTCCAGTCCTTTGGAGTCTTGATGTCTCCGACAACAACAACCTTCCACCCGGGTATCTCTGCCATGAACTTGATGTCTGGTGTGGGGTCGAAGATGGTTGTCACAACTATCCATCGATCTGACGAAACTGTGCTGAACTTGTCTGGTAACCTAGAAAAGATATTGTCTGATTTATCTTCTCAAAAATATATGAAAACACGCAACCATCCATCCAAAAAACCGCACATCCAACACCCACACCCCATACAAGTAAATAAAGTGCCACCCTACAACTGATGCATGTGATGAACAGTCCTCCAGTCATAAAGACTTACTTCCGAGAAATATGTGTTGTGACATCGAATGAACCGCGATTCTGTCACATCCGTAGGCTTTTGTGGACTCCACAACATGGCAACTGACAAATCTTAATATATTAATACTGTATCAATCATCGGTTGATAGGACTTGACATGTGTTACATGGAAGCAATAAAACGACGTTTTTACAGTCACTGGGATAGTCTGTGTTAATTGTTCTTAAATCTGTATGCACAATGACCAGTATGTATGGCCAATGTTTCCGGTGGGGAACCGCTCTTGTCATTTACACACATTCAGAAGTCGGACGGCGATTCTCCATCGTCGTAATCGTAGGCAATCCGTCCGCTTCTGTCGATGACATGGGCCCGTATCCTGTAGACTGTCTTCCCGACTCATCTCTCACACGTGTCTCCGACTAATCATGTCAGTCAGGTTTTGTACATAGGGACATTACGCCACATTGTGCAAGGTCACTGACCTATACACATGCACAACCGTAAGATTCGCTGACGGAGGGGCGTGTTAATTGACATCTACTGATAGCATTGAGAAGTAAGGGTCCTGTCGGAAGGAGAAGTTATGATAAGAGGTAGAAACACCGAATGTTTGCTAAATACATTAGACCAACAAATGATAGAGTTTGGCGGCACTTTTGGCATTTGTTGAAACAAATAGGTCGTTTGAATATGTGAAGTTTTAAAGAAACTTATTCCAATGGTTTGCTCTATGACACCCAAATTAATTAGGAAACCGAATGGGAAGTTCCACTGGACCCGTTTACTTTAGCTCAGTCGGGTAGAACCGTAGGCGAAACTGCCATATACTACATCAGATCATAGATATATCTGAAGTGTTTGGTATTGCTTCCCATCCCAGAAGAAAACGTCCCAACCGCTCAGCAGAAGATGTGCAGAAGATATGCGCATAGGATCCCAACGTCCTGTCTGAATGTCTTCAACCAAGTAGGAAGACACTTTGTATCCATAGGATTCCAATATCTTGTTCGAATGTCTTCAACAAAGCAGGAAGACACTGTGTACCGATAGGATTCCAACATCTTGTTCGAATGTATTCAACCAAGTAGGAAGACACTTTGTATACATAGGATTCAAACATCTTGTTCGAATGTCTTCAACCAAGCAGGAAGACACTTTGTATCAATAGGATCCCAACGTCCTGTCTGAATGTCTTCAACCAAGCACGAAGACACTTTGTGCCCATAGGATTCCAATATCTTGTTCGAATGTCTTCAACAAAGCAGGAAGACACTTTGTACCCATAGGATTCCAACATCTTGTTCGAATGTCTTCAACCAAGTAGGAAGACACTTTGTATCCATAGGATTCCAACATCTTGTTCGAATGTATTCAACCAAGTAGGAAGACACTTTGTATACATAGGATTCCAACATCTTGTTCGAATGTCTTCAACCAACCAGGAAGACACTTTGTATCAATAGGATCCCAACGTCCTGTCTGAATGTCTTCAACCAAGCAGGAAGACACTTTGTGCCCATAGGATTCCAATATCTTGTTCGAATGTCTTCAACAAAGCAGGAAGACACTTTGTACCCATAGGATTCCAACATCTTGTTCGAATGTCTTCAACCAAGTAGGAAGACATTTTGTATCCATAGGATTCCAACATCTTGTTCGAATGTCTTCAACCAAGCAGGAAGACACTTTGTACCGATAGGATTCCAACATCTTGTTCGAATGTCTTCAACCAAGTAGGAAGACATTTTGTATCCATAGGATTCCAACATCTTGTTCGAATGTCTTCAACCAAGCAGGAAGACACTTTGTACCGATAGGATTCCAACATCTTGTTCGAATGTCTTCAACCAAGCAGGAAGACACTTTGTACCCATAGGATTCCAACATCTTGTTCGAATGTCTTCAATCAAGCAGGAAGACACTTTGTATCCATAGGATCCCAACGTCCTGTCTGAATGTCTTCAACCAAGCAGGAAGACACTTTGTATCAATATGATTCCAAAATCTTGTTCGAATGTCTTCAAACAAGCAGGAAGATACTTTGTACCCATAGGATTCCAACATCTTGTTCGAATGTCTTCAACCAAGTAGGAAGACACTTGATTCCCATAGGATTCCAACATCTTGTTCGAATGTCTTCAACCAAGTAGGAAGACACTTTGTATACATAGGATTCCAACATCTTGTTCGAATGTCTTCAACCAAGTAAGAAGACACGTTGTATCCATAGGATCCCAACCAAGTAAGAAGACACGTTGTATCCATAGGATCCCAACATCTTGTTCGAATGTCTTCAACCAAGTAGGAAGACACTTTGTACCCATAGGATTCCAACATCTTGTTCGAATGTCTTCAACCAAGCAGGAAGACACTTTGTACCCATAGGATTCCAACATCTTGTTCGAATGTCTTCAAACAAGTAGGAAGACACTTTGTACCCATAGGATTCCAACATCTTGTTCGAATGTCTTCAACCAAGCAGGAAGACACTTTGTACCCATAGGATTCCAACATCTTGTTCGAATGTCTTCAACCAAGTAGGAAGACACTTTGTATCCATAGGATCCCAACATCTTGTTCGAATGTCTTCAACCAAGCAGGAAGACACTTTGTATCCATAGGATCCCAACATCTTGTTCGAATGTCTTCAACCAAGCAGGAAGACACTTTGTATACATAGGATTCCAACATCTTGTTCGAATGTCTTCAACCAAGCAGGAAGACACTTTGTACCCATAGGATCCGAACATCTTGTTCGAATGTCTTCAACCAAGTAGGAAGATACTTTGTATACATAGGATTCCAACATCTTGTTCGAATGTCTTCAACCAAGTAGGAAGACACTTTGTACCCATAGGATTCCAACATCTTGTTCGAATGTCTTCAACCAAGCAGGGAGACACTTTGTATACATAGGATTCCAACATCTTGTTCGAATGTATTCAACCAAGTAGGAAGACACTTTGTATACATAGGATCCCAACATCTTGTTCGAATGTCTTCAACCAAGTAGGAGCACACTTTGTACCCATAGGATCCCAACTTCCAGTCTAAATGCCCCGAAGGGAGTAGAATCCCAACTGAGGTGAGGTGACGTGAAATTGGGTTCAACGTCGCGCTGGAGAATATTTCGCTCATATGACGACGTGCATGCGTGTGTATGTGTAGGTGCGGCTGCTTGTACTAGCCCAGACTGAAGCTGGTTTTATAGTGCTAGTCCACTGAGATACCATGCCTCAGTGAAGCATGAATACCCAACTCAGACACATTATACTGACTCCGAGCCGACCAGTCCTTGTTGTACCCATTAATGCCGAGCGTCAGGCAGGGACCAACAAGACCATATTTTAACGTCTTTTGGTATGACGCGGTCGGGGATCGAACCCGCGACCTTCCGCTCTCCGGGTGGACGCTCTAACCACTACACCACGGAGGCGGTCGAATCCCAACTGAAGGGGTTATCACCCCTTGATGTTAATGTGTTTAGAATCATCATGAATAGTATAATCATCGAAAAGATGTTATGACATTGTATATATTGTCATGTATTGTTTCAGGGTGTGTTGTTACACATGGGATAAAGTTCTCATCCCTGTAACTTGTGTTCTGGATTTTGACATCCAGTCACTATCCCGTTGCACCTATATCGTATGAACAATACGGTATGATTGGTAATCCTAATTCCTTGACTAACCTTGATGTCCAGCTCTTGGTCTTCTTCAGTTGAGCAGCCACATACATGTAAACCACCAACAGACACACGCAAGTGACACACAGGATTATAACCCGTGACTTTCTCCAGCGCAAAACACCCATCTTCCTTGTACCTGCAACAAACATAAGATTGACAGTTATATATGCATTACAGACTAAAGCTTTACGGAAGTTATTTTTACAGAGTATTCAGATGGTTTTAGTGTTTGGTTGTATGCTGTGTTCATGTGTTGAACTATTAAACTATTGAAAATAAACAATAAAAAAACCGACATTGAGTTTTGTCGCTGTCACTGTAATGAATACAGCTAAATGAACACTGAATATGTTCAACTGTATGCATCTTGAATACGGCATTCCATGCCTGTGAATTATGAGTTGACTTTAATGGACAGGCATACAGACAGAAACGAAAATTTATTTATCCGGCCCAAAATACAAACTTTATCACAATTAATTACACAATGCGCATTTACATTTTTTTCTTTTCTAATTTACATGGTACTAAAATAGACAAACAAATGTATACAGAATATGTTTCACAAATCTAACATACATGCCATTCATTTTCAACGAAAACAATACTCTTGGATGAACATAATTGGCAATGTCTCTCTTCAAAAATAGCATTCCATATCTACCAGTTTCAACATCTAACTGAAAATCACAACACCCAAAATTTGGACAAAAAGAAACATATTTTAGGTATTGAGAAGGTCCGTATTTTTCAACATTTAAAAGAGATATGAATTTGCTTTTACAAAAACACATTTACGGTTCGACTGTAGAGATAAATACCAATATTTAATAGCCTTAGCCATATATACAAACTTCAAAGGTACCCTTCCACATTCACCTTAAAAACACATTGTTATAAGTAGATTTTCCAACATTTAATACACTTTTAGAACATTTAATGGGGGCAGATTCAGTGGTATTACAGTTAAAGTTCCCCAACGTTCTGACCCATAGCATAGTATAGGTGTGATAATACAATCAACTATCTTAAATATATCTAAACAATTTAAATTACCTAATTATTGACAGAAAATATCACCTTATTGGCTTGGGATACTAGACATGTTTGAGCCTTGCTCCATATTACCTTAGGGGTAAACACAAGACCCAAGTGTTTATCTAAAGATACAACATCGATAGAGATACCGTCATAAAACCATTTTCATAAGACCTCAAAGGGCCATCATTTCCCCAAATAATAATTTTAGTTTTCTTTGTATTCACATTCATACCAAAAATTTATTTAAGCACAATAATTTTCCCTTGCACCTGAACACAGGTATCAGATATAGCTAAGACATCATCAGCAAACATGAGTGAACACATATTATTCAAAGATGATGCAATGGTTATACCTTGTCCACCGTCACGTTTCATCATATCATAGTACATAGTTTGTTATTAAAAATGATAAAAGTATGTGCACTTAATACACAACCAAAGTGAGTGCCTAGTGAGTACCATCATTGGCAAACTGGTTGGTGTTCTAACAAAATGGGTTTATGGCTGTAGGAACTGGTTTTCAAATTGAAAACCCAAATTTTTAACAAAGATCTGTGAATGTCGCGCTCGTAAGGACTATAGAGAGAGTCTTTATTTCCTACAGACGATCATCCAAAGATCAAACATATTATATACATATATATACAAGAAAGGGGGCAAAGTTACAAAATTGATATAAATTTATATACAATTATATTAATCAAAATGATTACTTTAAGCTACAATTTACATAAGAACATACATTTACATGTGTATACAAAAAAATTATACCAGAAACGTCCGAAGGTGGACATACATCATTATACATCTGCAGAGATCAATCAGTATAACATTGGGCACTCGTGAAGAGCCACCTCCTCGTGGTGGGTGTTGGGCATCGCTAAGAGCTCTTCAACCCCCCGTTGTGGACCCGGGGGTATATTTGGTCCACCAAACCGTTTGCCGTGGGTTGCGCTCCTGTGTCGGTGGAGGACGGGATTCTGGTGGTTGAGGGCATTGGTTCCAGGATTAGCGTTCCTTTGCCCAACACACCACTTCGGCCCTTTCTTCACCTAAACGGGTGGTAAAATGGGCCCGGTTCTACCAATCGGCTGGTCATGCCGAACCCTGAGCACCAAATTTCATTGCCCTACTATTATTTGGCTTGGTTTTATTTGGACACAATATTGACATGTTTTGTTTTTGTGTATATATTATATGATATATGAATTTCAAATTTGTGAACATTTGCCTAGATGCCAGTGCCAGAAGGCGGTGGCTGATGGGCCAATCTGGTGGACAAATTAATTTTTAGTTTTTCTGCTTGAGTATATCATCCGAGTATCCTTGGTGCTGCAAGTCGGAGAGCCGCTTGTTTTTAGCATTGTCCTTGTTATACTCCGTAGTGGGTGGGGAGCTCGGATGATGAAGTCTAAACACTTACCATGGCTTTTGAAACCCCCACCATAAAAAGCAAACGTCCTCTTGAAAATGATCCTGATGACAACGACCTCCTACTACCGAACCAAATTGATTACTGGCCTCGTTTTGTTCTCATTAAAGTTAAATCCTTTTGCTGTATCTAAGGGTATCCAAGGCATTGCCGGCGATTTAAAGAACATTAACAGATTACATTCTGGTGAGCTGTTGATCGAGTGCAGCAAAAGACAACAGTCCACCAACCTGTTGAACACTGACACTTTTGTTGGCATTCCGGTTACCGTCACGGGCCCAAAAACACTGAACACTAGCAAGGGTATCGTGCGAGACAGTGATAGATTGCTGGCTGACATGTCGGAACTTGATATCGTCTCCGAGATGAAGGATCAGGGTGTGCTATATGTTAAACGTTTTTCAAAACGTAAAAATGATACAACCATTAAAACCAACACATATCTGTTTTCCTTTTCTTTACCTAATGCTCCAAAATCACTGAAGGCAGGTTATTGTAACCTCAATGTTGAGACATAACATTCAAAACTCTCTTAGGTGCTTTAAATGTCTAAAAGTTTGGCCACGGCGTAAATACTTGCACATTGTCTGTTGTGTGTGCTCACTGTGATGAGAAGACAGACACAACTGACGATTGTACAAGTACCTTTAAAAAATGCACCAACTGTTCAGGAGAACATTCATCTTTCTTAAAAGCGTGTCCGATTTGGAAAGAACAAATGCAGATCAACAAGATCAAATTTACCCAAAACATCAGTTTTTCTGATGCCAAAACACTTGTAAAGAGATCTGAACTTACAGAAAGTTATGCTTCAAAAACCAAAACACCAAGTGAATCAAGCCCTAAAGTATCTACGTCATCCACAAGCTGTCACACAAACTTGACTTGGGTCAAAGGCGACAATCCACAGCTTTTGTATCCTGCTATATGATCTCAAACTGCGGAATCACTTCCTAGTACGTCCGAAAGGCAGTCAGAGTCATCTTCTGATCATAAGTCATCCTCTCAATCACGTTCACAGTCTCAATCGTCATCTGATACTCAGCACATTGTTAAAAGCAAAAATAAACCGAAGCTCTATGCTTCACAGCAACAAAGTGGCAGAGCCCCAAAAGGGTCGGAAAATAGAATTCAGCTATACAACAACTATGGATCTCTTGAGGCCATGGACGTATGTGAAAACGTCCATTCTAGGGCACATAGCTTGTCGCCCAACATAAAAGTGCGGGGTAGATCCCCTATAAATCCCCCCAAAAGATAATGTCTTCCAATAATATTGTACAGTAAAACTGCAGAGGGTTAAGGAATAATTTCAATGATTTGCAGCTATTAGTCCAGGACTTCACACCATCAGCCATCTGTCTGCAGGAGACATATTTTAAACAGACGGATACATTTGACCTACGCCATTTCAATACATACCATTCTTTTTCACCTCCGGGTGATCGGGCCACTGGAGGATCTGCGATCCTTATCAAACAGAATATTATCCATAGCCCTGTTATACTTAATACTGGTCTCCAGGCGGTTGCCGTGCGACTCACTTTACATGTTGCGCTCACATTATGCTCTGTGTACATCCCACCGTCTTCAGCTCTTCAGAAGACTGAAGTTCAAAATCTATATGACCAACTCCCGAAACCTTGTATTATTATGGGAGATTTAAATGGCCACAACTCACTCTGGGGTGGTACAAGTACTAATACTAAATGTAAACTATTCTGTTCAGATAATCATTTATGCATACATAATGACGGTTCTAACACATATTTACATCCTGGCACAGGAACTTATTCAGCTCTTGCTTTATCAATTACAACCTCACACCTATTGAATAAATTTGAATAGTCAGTCCAATGGAAGTGACCATTTTCCAACAATATTAAAACCTGTGAATCCATCTGATATCACGCCATCCTCAAGATGGAACTTTAAAAAAGCTAACTGGAATTTATATCAAACTCTGTGTTGTAACAAACTTAAACCTGAACTTTTTCTAGATGTTCCTGATGCCATAAACGATTTCTCTGATGAACTCAATAATATAGCTGATGAGTATATCCCAAAATCCTCTGCAATTCCACACATCCGAAAACCATGGTTCACCAATGAGTGCGAAAAGGCAAGGAAGGCACGGAAGAAGGCTGAGAATTATTTCCGTCGCCATCCTTTGGTCCATAATTTGAATACATTCAAAATTTTAAATACTAAGGCACGGAGTACCTTCAAACAATGTAAACGTCAATCCTAGCGAAGTTATGTGTCAAAAATAAATTCACGAACGCCGATATCAAAGGTATGGAACATGATTCAATAAAAGGTAAGGGCTCTCAATCTAGCATTAAGCATCTCAAAGACGGAAACGAATTATTAACTAGTAGATTTGATATTGTAAATAAACTTGGAGAAACCTTGGCCAAACACTCTTCCTCATCGAATTATGTACCTAAATTCCAACAATATAAAAACTACAGGAAAAGAAAACTATTAATTTCAATTCAGATAGTGGGACAGATTACAATGAAATATTTTCTATTCATGAACTTCATACTGCTCATGACCAAGCTCACGATACTGCTACAGGAGCTGATAACATCCATTATCAACTTTGAAGAATTTACCGGAATCATGTTTAGAGACCCTTTTTAATATTTTTGATGA